ATTAGGTATATAGTGGGAAAGCTATTTTTACTTGCACTAATGCTGATAAATTTTCAGAATTGAGAATTTGTGAAATAGTTTCTTTCCTTACTTTGAAGGCTCAGATGTTCCACAATATAGATAAAATACTCCATTAATTATCAGGTATATGACCATGTAATGACTTTGCCCCTAGCAGTCCCAGCTAGAGCACAAGTCTTTCTATAGGCAAATAAGTTTAGTAAAAATATGTTTACTTAATGTTTCTCAAAATTATCATCCTCAAAGCTTTCACAATTACTGTTTTCCCTATCTGAATTTCCATCCTTCAACCCTCCTTTCTTTCCTCTTTACCCTTTATCCCTTTTTTTTTCTAACCTGATACTCATCTTTTATTACTTTTAAATATGGCTACACCAGAGAAGTCTTCCATGACCACCCAAAAATAGATGCACCTGTATGCATATGCACACACACAGACACATGCACACATACACACACATAGTAAGTATCTTTTTATGATGTTTTTGAAAATTATTTTCTTCATAGTACCTCTTCTGAGTTTTATATTTATTTAAAAAATTATTTTTAAAATTTTAATCTTTTTTTCTACCCTCCATGAATACTTCTCATATTCATTCATCATATCCTCAGTGCCTGGCATAGAGTAGGCACCTAATAAATATTTGGTGAATGAATCAAGAAGTTCTGTAACTGTTGAGTACCAGGTACTTTATTAGTGCTACCTGAGGGCTAACATTTATTTCTAGAAACTAACTCTTGAAATAATTTGTTATATAGTTGATGATGTTATTTTAGGGCCAGTGTAATGATTGAGTTTTACCTCAGATGAAGATATTTATATTGTTATTTGTCTTTAAAACAAAGATACAACTATAAAGCATAAAATCCCCCAAATCATTTGAAATGATAAAGTTATTCTCTATGTTCAATAGAAAGGCATATATGCACTCCAGGCATTATATATTTATGTCTGTATATGTATAATTATATCTGTATATGATAATACCTACATATATAATATTTCATACATATGTATATAATTATATGTGTGTGTAAATTTTTTTTCTGCAAAGTCACTTTAAGGCAATAGATTGAAAACTGTGGTTTGAGGCTTCTGGGAAGTCAAAACTATTTTCATGACAAAATAAAATTTTATTTACTTTTTTCACTGTCATTTTTTCATGAGTGTGAAGTAAAGTTTTCCAGAGATACCTGATATGTGATATTGTGTCAGATTGAATGCAGAAACAAGCAGATAAGAGAATCCAACTGTCTCCCATTTATTTATTTTTAAATGTGTATTTATTTGAGGGAGGGGGCAGTGAGCAGGGGAAGGGCAGAGAGAGAGAGGGAGAGAGAGAATCCCAAGCAGGCTCCATCTCAGGATCTTGAGATCATGACCTGAGCTGATCTTAATCGACTGAGCCACCCAAGTGTCCCCCCACTGTCTTTTATTAGGCTAAACATTAATGATATTTGCAAAAATGTAAAGCAATGTATTTTGGAAAATCTGTTATTTGTGTTAACATATAGTAGGGTAGGGGTTCTGAGACCAAAATGCAAACCACTGCTTTCAGAAGACAGTGGGGTGCCTGGGTGCCTCAGTTAGTTAAACATTGGACTTTGGCTTGGGTCATAATCTCACGGTTTGTGACTTTGAGACCCTCGTCAGGCTCTCTGCTGACTCAAGCTCAGAGTTTGGAGCCTGCTTCCGATTCTGTGTCTCCTTCTCTCTCTGCCCCTCCCCCACTCGGTCAGTCTCTCTCTTTTTCTCTCTCTTTCAAAAATAAACATTAAAAACAATTTTTTTAAGTTAAAGAAAATAAAAAGACAAAAAATTTCCCGGGTCTGCTGAATGCTCACTGTACTTGATTTATCTTAAAGAATGTGTTTATCATAATCTGGGTTGGTTAATAATAAAAAAAATATTAAAAATTCAGAGATCAGCATGTTTTATTACTGTTTATTCACTGAAGAAGAGAGTCATAGCTACCAAATTCACAAAACTGGATCAGATTATCTTCAGCTAATACTGTTAAGTATTTGATTTTTCTTTCTCCTGTTGTTTTGATTCCATCTCCATGTAGTTTTTGTTTGTGTCGTAGTTTTACGGTCATAGAATCAAAACTGGAGATGACCTCTTGTAGGTCTATCTACAAACAAAATTTGCTGAACATATAGATTTAAATATGTTTTTTGAATGATAACTTTTCTTATTATCAGTTAATAATTGACGTGATTGGTGCTTCTTCATAGGGACAAGGTGCTGATGTATGGTTTTGAATGTTCTGGTTTCTGTGACAGTTATTTCTCGTTGTAAATGTATAAATCGGCACTCTGGTTTTTGTGCATCTGTTTTTTAGCCATGGCTAATCTCAGTCTTCCCATAAGTTTCATATTTAGTGTGTTGGCAAAATCAGACTTTAGAGCTTACAAGGACAAAGGTTACATATACACTCTGGGTTTTAGTAAATTCATTAGGCCACTTGGGATATGGTGTGACAGTTTATGCATTAATAAATACCAGCTCTGGATATTATTAATATTTTTTAAATGATTAAACTTTATGTTTTAGATCAGCTTTAGGTTAATAGTAAAATTGAGCAAAAACTACAGATGTTTTCATGCTAATTTTAAAAAAGTTCATTTTTCAGTATCTGAGAATAAAACTTTTGAGATTGAGATTTTTTTCTTATACTTTGAACCTTTTTTTTAACATATTTATTTACAGAGAGAAGAAGAAATGATGAGCAAAGGGGAGGGGCCAGAGAGAGAGGGAGATAGAATCCAAAGCAGGCTCCAGGCTCTGAGCTGTCAGCACAGGCAGAGCCAGGCGTGTCAGAGCCAGACACAGAGCCATGAGATCATGACCCTAGCCGAAGTTGGGACTCTTAATAGTAGACTGAGGCACCAGGCACCCTATTGCTGAACCTTTTTTTTTAATTTTTTTATTTTCTTGTTTTATTTATGGACAGGAGAGACAGAGCATAGGCAGGAGGGGCAGAGAGAGAGGGACGGGTCGGAGAGACAGGCTCCAGGCTCCAGAGCCATCACCGACAGAGCACCGCCTTGGGAGCCCGAACTCCTGAGACCTTTGAGATGCTGGCATGAGCTGAAGTCGGACACTAACCGACCACCAGAAGCCCTACTTTACGCTGAACCTTTTTAAGAAAGCTGAGATGTTGCTGCAATTATGAAATAAATATTCTTAGAGCAGACAGTCATGATCCAAATCATATCTGTGACATAAGCTGCCTAGAATATGAAGGAATGGAAGGTTGAATAGGTAGTAGTTTATTTTTTATTTTAACTATTTTTATTTTCTTTTCAAGCTTTATTTATTTTGTTGACAGAACAGAGCATGGAAGGCAGGAGGCAGAGAGAGAGGGAGACCTGGGGGGATCGGAAACAGCTCCAGGCTCAGGACCCCATCAGCCAGAGCCTGGCCTTGAGGACTTGAACTCAGGACGGGAGGATCCTGACCTGGCTGAAGTGGACTAACAACCGTCACGCCACCCAGACGCCCCAGGGTTTGTTTTTTTAGATAAAAGAAAGTAGCAAGTATGTAAATTGCTAGGGAATTAACAACAGCAAATAAATAAAAGTTACCAAAACTGCATTAAATGTCCTGTTATTATTACACATTAACTTTTCATCATTATCTTGGAAAGCTGATTTTCTTGGTTAGTTTCATTCAGATAAAGTACTTGACCCCATGATAATTATTAAATATACCTACTAATAGCTCTATAGGAGGAAGTGCCAGGGTTTTAGGTAAAGGTCTTGTGGCTTTTAGAGTCGAAATTAATAGGTACTAGTTGTAAAAGGAAAAATTAAAAGCAATTTAATTCCATTTCTGTGTGTAAAAAGAAAGTCCAGTAAAAATGTAACCACATGAACACAAACATGCATAAAGAAAGGAATTTGGGTAGTGAGATTAAGAGTATTTTTACTGTTGGGGCCCCTGGGTGGCTCAGTCAGTTGAGTGTCTGACTTCAGCTCAGGTCATAATCTCATGGCTTGTGAGTTCGAGCCCCGCGTTGGATTCTGTGCTGACAGCTCAGATCCTGGAGCCTGCTTCATATTCTGGGTCTCCCTCTCTCTCTCTGTTCCTCCCCCACTCACTCTGTCTCTGTCTCTCAAAAATAAATAAGCGTTAAAAATTTTTTTTAAAAAAAGTTTTTTTACTGTTTTGTTTTTGCCTGCCTGAATTGTGTAAAAAGTTTTTTTATTGTGAATATGTTACATTTTTGTGATGAAAATATTTACTTTTTTTTAAAGTTAAAGCAACCCAGAAAAGTACATAAAGGAAAGAATAATTATAAGATATTCCTTTTAATATTTTAAGTATTTGCCTTATTATTTAACTTATTTAACTTTATTATATGTAAAATGAAATAAAACTGCAATGTTTTTTCTTTATATGCTTATAGTTGCCTTTTACATGTAATTTGTATTACTTCTTGGAGTCAGATTTAACTTTAATTAAGTTCCCATATCAAAGTTTGTTGTAGTAGTAATCTAAAAAAATAAGTTACAAATGTATATTATCAAAAGTGATATTTATATTAAGCTTTGTAGGAGCATAGTTATTTCATGAAACGAATATTTTCATTCTGAGATAGCACAGTTGAAACAAATTTTGGCTTCTTGCACTTGAAATCTGTGTCTATCTACCGAAAGCATTTCTTTTTTTTAAGATTTTATTTTTAAGTAATCACTACACCCAGCATGGGGCTTGAACTCAGGACCTGGAGATCAAGAGTTGCATGCTGTCCTGGCTGAGCCAGCCAGGTGCCCCTACCAAAAACATTTCTGTGTCATCGTATATACAAATTATTTGGAGACAAAAGTCTCTTTCTGACAATGAATTGATTGACTTTAACTTTTTAAGAGTCATTTATATCATACTTTATAACAAGATAAAAATGCATGTATTAGCGGTTTGTGGCAAAGAAAAAAGTATCACTATGTGTGTTCTCTTTTTTTTCCACTAGGCATTTTTATTACCAATTTGTGAAGCAGCAGCTATGAGAAAAGTGGTAAAAGTATATCAAGAATGGATCCAGCAAGAAGAAAAACCTTTGTTTATGCAAGAGCCTGAAGAAATTGTGATCTCCTCTTCAGACTTACCTTGTATTGACAATGTCACAGACCGTGTTATTTCAATGGAAGAAGGAGAAAAGAGAGAAGAGGTAAACTGATAATACTTACATATTTTAGTATAAGTTTAATAGATGAGACTTTCATGAAAGTATAACACATGAACATACATATATTTAATAGGAAGTTAAAGATACCTTTTAATATATTTTGCAGCTTAGGTAATATGGTAGTTACCTCAGTTACCCTGTCTTAAAGCTCTTTGATGTCACAACTTTGAAAAATTAATATTGAGGTTATATACTGATTCTTTAATTCATTGTCTAGATCAAAATTAGATGCCATTATAAAAGGTGTAATAATTGAGACTAATAGGAGGGTGGCAGAGTACAGGAAGATCCTGAGCTCACCTCTTCCCATGGACATATCAGGGCTACAACTACATACAAAGGGACACTCACAGAGAAAGACCTGAGGACTAGGAGACCAGTTCTTGCATAGCTAAAGATAAATGAAAAAAAACATGGGATGCCTGGCTGGCTTAGTTGGTAGAGCATGTGACTCTTAATCTCACTGTTGTGAGTTTGAGCCCTATGCTAGGTGTGTAGAGCTTACTTTAAAAAAGAAGAAAGAAAAAGCCACCTTGAGAAGGGTAAGTGTGGCAGAGAGGTAGTCAGGTTGGGAACCAAACCTCCCGTCCAGCAACCCACAAGTGGTTTGATTGCACAGGCACAGAGGTTCCTTTCTTGAGGAGCAAGGGGATTGAGCCCCACATTGTACTCCCACACCTAGGAGATCTGCACAGGAAAAATGAGCCCCCACAATGTCTGGCTTTGAAAGTCAGCAGAACTTAACTTTAGGAGCTTTCAAAATCATTGGGCCTTAACTCTGGGACAGCTGGTGCGGGTGGGGGGTGCTGGTTGGGGAGGACTATAGGAAACTGAGATAATGCTCTTAAAGGTCCCGCACACAATCTCACTCACTCTGAGACCCAGCACAGAGGCAGCAGTTTGCAGAGCACCTGAGCTATACATGAAGGATATTTATTGACTAATTTTAGGACATATGCTGGAGGGGCAGGGGTCTGTAGGGACTTTTCTTTGGAAATGGAAACACTAGTAGGCACCATTTTCTTGCCCTTATTTAGCTAGCTATCTTAAGGGCTCCAGTTCTGACACTCTCCATCTACATTGCTAGCACCAGTTGCCCCACTTTGGCATTCCCCTGCAAAACCAGTCCACCCCTCCAGCAGACTCCCTCTTAAGCTGCTCCCACCCTGCCACACCCAGTGGGCAGCGTTGACTGGGACTGGTGTCCCTCCAAAGTGACTCCTGCCCTGGGGAAATGAGAGACTGGTCCTGTCTACCAACACACGCACAGTATCATGCCTGGGCCTTTCAGCCAGCTGTGCCAAGGTCCATCTCCTCCCACCAATGCACCTATAGCAGTCCTGCCTGGGCACTGCAACCAACAGGCCCTGCCTACCAGAACGTCCAAGCAGTCAGAGCTCATTCACAACTGAAGGGTGCATGCTGCACACAGAGGAGAGCACCTGGTTTTGGTGATGGCAGGGGAGGGGATTGTGCTTCTGGACCCCAGAGGACACCTTCCACACAAGGCTGCTACCTTTGAGAACAGGAGATGTAGCTGACCTACTGCCTAATGCATGGAAACAAACACAGAGTCAGACAGAATGAGGAGACAGGAATATGTTCCAAATGAAAGAATAAGAAAAAAAAATCTCAGAAAAATAACTAAAAAAGAATTAAACAATCTACCTGATAAAGAGTTAAAAGTGGTAGTCATAAAGATGCTCACTGAATTTAGGAGCAGAGTGGATAAATTCAGAACTTCAACAAAAAGATAGAAAATATTTTTTAAAAAATCAGAGCTGAAGAATACTATAACTCAAATGAAAAATACACCAGAGGGAATCAACACTCAGGAAGAGCATGCAGAAGAATGTATCAGTGATCTGGAAGACAGAATAGTGGAAATCATCCAAGTTGAGCAGCAAAAGGAAAAATAATTTTATGTAAGATAAGGTAAGGGACCTCTGGAGCAACATTGAAAGTATTAACATTTGCATTATAGTGGGTCCCAGAAGAAGGGAGTGAGAAAGGAGCTTATTTGAAGAAATAACAGCTGAGAACTTTCCTAACCTGGGGCAGGAAACAGACATCCACGTTCAGGAAGCATAGATAGCCCCAAATAGGATGAACCCAAAGATGTCCACACAAGACACATAAGAATTAAAATGCCATAAGTTAAAGATAGAGAATTTTATTTTTATTTTTATTTTTTTTAAGTTTTTTTTATTTATTTTGAGAGAATGTGTGTGTGTGTGCACGTGCCAGCCAGGGAGGGGCAGAGAGAGAGGGAGAGCGAGAATCCCAAGCAGGCAGGCTCCATGCTGTCAGTGTGGAGCCTGATGCAAGGCTGGATTCCACAAACTGTGAGATCATGACCTGAACTAAAATCAAGAGTCAGATGCTTAATTGACTAAGCCACCCAGGTGCCCCAAAGAGACAATTTTAAAAGCAGTAAGATAAAAGCAACTTACATACAAGGGAACACCTACCTATAAGACTCTGAACTGTGTTTCCAGCAAAAACTTCGCAGGCCTAAAGAGAGTGGCTTGAAATGTTTCATGTGCTCAAAGGAAAAAACCTGCAAGTAAGAATATCCTGCAAGGCTATAATTCAGAACTGGAGAGAGATTCTCAGACAAACAAGTTGGAAGTGTTCATCACACAGCACAGACTTACAGGAAATGTTAAAATGACATCTTTATGCAGAAAAGAAGAAGCCATAACTAGAAGTAAGAAAATTATGAAAGGAGGAAAACATTTCACTGGTATGAGAAAGTAGGGGAGGGACAGTAAAGTATTCTCAAAACTGAGAAAACATTTTGAGACTGGAAATCAAAGAAGGCAACTCCATATGGTTTACAGAGTTTTATTATTGTAACTTACTGACCAGGGGTCAGGCAGACAATGATTTAGGTGCTGTACAGCTATTCTCCACAGAGTCTGGACCTTAAGCCCACATATTTTATGGGACAAGAGATGCGCAGAAGGGTGTTATTATGTGATCAAAGGGCTCGCATGCACCTCAAAAGATTTGCATGCACCTAATTGACAGGTAACCTTTAAATAGATCTTGTGGTACCACCTGTGCATCATGAAGGAAAAAGACTGTGATATCTCTAACAGATTCATGGGAGGCCAAAGCGGGCTCCCTCCATCCCAGCCTTGGAAGACACTTTTAAAGTATGTATATTAATCTCTAAGGGCCTGGAACATGGAGCCCAAGACAGGTTATTGAATGAATATGAACAAGATGGAGAGCCACAGGTGGAGTCAGTATTGTCAACAGTCCTACAACTGGTAAAAGCAAACATATAATAAAGGAAATAGGTCAGTCACTTGTAAAGCTAGCATGAAGGTTAAAAGAAAAAAGTAGTCAAATCAGCTACATTTAAAATAAGTAGGTAAGGGATACGCAAAAAACATGTAAAATACGGTGTCAAATACATAATACATGATGAAGGGGAGGTAAAAATGTAATGCATTTAGAATGTGTTTGAACTTAAGTGATCCTCAACTTAAAATATATGACTATATACATGGGGTGTTATACACGAACCTTATGTATGGCAACCACAAGCAAAAAACCTATGATAGGTGCACAAAAAATAAAGAAATCCAAGCATAATACTGAGGAAAGTCATCAAGACATAGCAAGACACTAAGAAAGGAACAGAGAACTACAAAAACAGCTAGAAAACAATGAACAAAATGGCAATAAGTACATACCTATCAGTAATTACTTTAATGTACATGGAGTAAATGCTCAATCAAAAGTCATAAAGTAACTAAATAGATTTAAAAAAAAGACCCATTTGTATGTTGCCTATATGACACATACAGACTGAAAGTGATGGGATGGAAGAGATATCCTATGCAAATGGAAATGATCAATAAAGCTGGAGTAGTAATACTTGTATCAGACACAATAAACTTTAAAACAAAGACTAAAAGAGAGAAGGGCATTACATAATGATGAAGGAAGCAATTCAACAAAAGAATGTATTTGTAAATATACATGCATCCAATATAGGAGCATCTAAATATTTAAATATTAATAGACATAAAGGAGAAATTGACAGTAATACAGTGATAGGGAACATTAACATCCCACTTACATCAATGGATTGATTGTCCAGGCAGAAAATTAAATTTTTTTTTAATGTGTATTTATTTTTGAGACAGAGACAGAGTGTGAGCAGGGGAGGGGTAGAGAGAGAGGGAGACACAGAATCAGAAGCAGGCTCCAGTCCTGAGCTGTCGGCACAGCACCCCAACAGACAGAAACTTAATAAAGAAACAGTGACTTTGAGTGAGATATTAGACCAGATGGACTTAACAAATATGTACAGAACATTCCATTGAAAAACAACAGAATACACGTTTTTTATAAGTGCTCATGGAACATTCTGCAGGATAGATCACGTATTAGGCCACAAAACAAATCTTAGTAAATGTAAGAAGGTTGAGATCATATCAAGCATCTTTTCCAACCACAACATTATGAAACTAGAAATAAATTAGGAAAAACCGTAAAAAGCATAAAGACGTGGAGACTAAACAAGCAGTGGGTCAGCAAAGAAATAAAAAAAATAACCTTGGGAGCACCTGTGTGGCCTGGTTGATTGAGCATCCAACTCTTGATTTTGGCTTGGGTCATGATTCCCAGGGTTGTGGGATTGAACCCCACATCAGGCTCTGCACTGAGTGTTGAGCCTGCTTAAGATTCTCCCTCCCTCTGCCCCTTCTCTGCTGGCATGTGTGCTCTCTCTCTCTCAAAAAAAAATTAAAAATTAAAAAACTACTTTGAGATAAATAAAAACGAAGACAACGTTCCTCAATCTTTGGAACACAGCAAAAGCAGTTCTAAGAAGTTTGTATAAACACAAGCCTACCTGAAGAATCAAGAAAAATCTCAAATAAACAATTTAACTTTATACCTAAAAGAACTAGATAGAAAAAGAAGAATAAAACCAAAAGTTGGTAGAAGAAATAAAGATGAAA